TATATGTCACTTAGTATAATATGACGAACATAAATATTCAAATAGAACAATATGGATGTAACATAAAAGTAAAGTATTATTAAGAATGGATGATTAGCAGAAACACTACCAACTTTATAATTAATAATTATAAAACAAACAATTCAAAATCAGTACATGACTATATCTAATACGAACCAGCCGTTTGAGAATTTAAAAGTAAAGAGTTGACGCAAACTTTAAACTTCTGAACTGAATATGTTTTGAAAGCATCATCAATATCATTATAAATAGTGACTGCATTGTATGTAAAACACTTCATAAATGTTGTTAAGCGAAATTTCGGAAGAGACAGTTTATTTATATATCTGATATTCAGATCATGCAAATCACGCCTAAAAACTAATTTTCTTCTTAAATAAGGAGGAAATAAGGATAGTAATATCCGGTGAACTAAGTCAGATGTATAGTATCTATAGATATTTTCTATTTTCAACCAACTCAATTCATTAATTTTGCTTAAAACTCGATCATATTTCCTGAGCTTAAAAACAAATCTTAAACAACAATTCTGAATTTTTTTCAACCTGTACTTTAAAACTTGCGTAAGAAATGGGTAATAAAGCGTGACAGCATGATTCAGAATAGGAAATACCAAGTACTCACAAAGCATTTTTCGCAATCTACAATTTAATATTCCCCCATTTCGATAGAGGAGCCTAAGTACAAGATACGTCTTTTTGACTAAAAGTGAAACATACTCATCAAACCTGAGCTTACAGTCAAAAATTATACCTAAGTTCTTTACACTTTTGGAGAGAGCAATACTCCTTCCGTCATTTTTCAGTTCCATTGATTGCGTAAAAATTTCCTGATTAGGTGGAGAAAATATATACAATGACTTGACATTTAGCGGAATTTAGTTTTAAATTGAGCCTCAAAGAGTACTTGTGTAGTCCTGGTTAATGTAAGCCGATGCTATATCAGCAAACTTTGGATCAAAAGATAAAAATAATTGAGTGTCAACAGCGTATCCTTGAATATCACAACTATTGACAGCTTTGAATATATCTGAAATATATATAATGAAAAGTAACGGTGCGAGAATGGAACCTTGTGGAATTCCAAATTTCACATGTTCAAAATCAGAATAAGAGGTGTTATCCACAACAACACACTGGTACCTATGATGTAGATAAGAATCAGAAAGTTTAAGCCCCATATACCATGCCTATAACTGGCTATTGAGTTAGAGGTGCGACATGTCAATATTTTAGTGACAGTATTGAACTTTCATCGATGCTAGTACGGTTGTAAGATAATTTTGCCGCATTTGATATTTCTGGACGTTTCCTAATGCACGGTACATCGATTGTCGATTGTTCAATTATAGTTTCAAACGTACATAAAAACTCGCTTATCTGACACATCACTAATTTATCTAATCCAAAGTGCATTTCTGCGTATGCTATCGATGTCCTAGTTATCATTTTATTGTTTCATAGGTATTCTTACCATGTTCCGACTTATTAACGAACACAGTGTCCATGCTGTAGAGCTGGATCGAACTCCATGATTTTCTTGCCAAATGAAACCACAGTCATTTGAAAACTATCCAGCACGGATTTATCGAAAGTCACAGATTAAAAAAAAAGACACCGAGACACGTCAAAAGATTTCACCCTCGGCCCCAGTGGATCATTCTCTTAAAATGTTTAAATAACAAGGGGTATCGAGTAATAGCTTGTTTGAAAGCTCTGTTGATGTTCTTTATTTTGACGTCGATCAGTCGATTCGTTTTCGAGAAAATTAGAAAAATGTTTATTTATGTTAATTTGTTCAGAAAACAAAAGCACACGAAAATATCACTTTTATTTCAATAGGTGTTCAAATTGTTGCCCGTTAGGGTTTTCCAAATCTACTATTCGTTTATAATTTAAAACGGAAACTACCAACATAAACAGCAATTCGGAAGATTAGACGACAACAACAACCACCAAATAATAACTTGATACAGCCTGGAAATACAACATCATTTCTAAACTCCACAAATGGAGATACAATGGAAACATTATCTCCTTCATTTCCAACTGCCTCGACAAGAGATGTTTCCAAGTACGAACAAATGGTGTACTGTCGGAACAAAAACAACAGATCAACGGAATACCTCAAGGCTCTATTATTAGTCCAACTCTATTTCTTATAGCACTTAACGACGTTCTAAGAGATATCGAACTACCTCTTCAGGCCCGTCTATACGCGGACGATATGATCGTATTTGTGAGGGAAAAGAACTTGACAACAAATGCATCGTTACTACAACATTACCTGAATAAGCTGGAATACTGGCCTAAGCTGACAGGATTTACCTTTTCAACAGAGAAAACAACTTGCATCATTTTCTCGAAGAAGCCTGTGCGTGACAAGCCCACTTTATAGTTGTGCAATAAGATTCTAGAGTACACCAGCGACATCAAATTCTTGGGAATCACATTTAATAATCGACTTAATTAGAAGAAACATATAACAGATGTCATTCAGTCTTGTCAAGCAGGGATCAACATGCTAAGTAAAGTACCTATCAAACAGACACTGGGGGGCTGAAAGTAAGACACTGCTTACTATACAGGGTGTCCCAGAAGTCGACGTCAAGCCGAAACCGGGTGATAGGCAAAGTCATAACAGCTATCAGAAAAATATTTAAAAAAAATTTTATGTATGTGTTTTGAAAATTATAGTTCTTTGAAAAATATATAGAAATTTCACACCCTACGGCAGTCTGTCAACTCCTGTTACTACAAATATTAACTTTTTTTGGATTTTATTTTTACAATGTAATGATGAATAATGCATCTTCAAACTGGTGTCTCAACCTTACTGCCAACTTTTCTCGTTCAGGAAAAATTGCCACTTATTTCCCAACCAAGTATTCCAAAGTAAAACTTTGCTCAACTTTAACTGGCTGTACTGGAAAAAATGTACTACGAGAGTTTGGCAAGTAACCTTAAAAGTTGGCGCATCTAATAACGATTCCAAAATGGTATAATACTTAGAAGATAACTCGTTAACTTATGCACAATTTTTATTTGAAAAAATCTGATGAAAATTTTTCAAAATTTCCTAATTAAACAGCGATCATGAAAACGCACAAGGACCCTTAAGCAAATGCTCAAACTGTTTTCCTTCAGCCGCAATACACGTTCGACATCTTCTTAAAAAAGATCGGGTTATTAAACGAGCGAATCCACGGTTATTAACAAACTCAGCTGCTTCCAATAGTCTTTGCCGTAGCTCAGCTACATTTTGAATCGGCTTGAAATACACTTTTTCTTTTACAGTTTCCCAGTAAAAAAATCTAAAGGATTCAAATCAGGTGATCGGGCTGGCCACGGTATTGTACCAGACCGCCTTATCCATCTGCCTGGAAAGTTTTGATCGAGATACTCTCTCACTGAGAGTGCACAGTGCGCTGGGCAGCCATCATGCTGAAACCACATGTCCCTGTAAATACTCAGTGGCACGTCCACCAATAAATTTTGTACATGATTTTTCAAAAAATCCAAATAAACTTCAAAGTCTCTGGGAACTCAAACGGACCGATTATTTTACCATTTAAAATTCCTGTCCAATGGTTTATCTTGAAGCGATATTGAGATTTATCTTCTCTCATCAAATGTGGGTTTGCTACGTGCCACTCGTGTAAGTTATGCAGGTTCGTGTACCCATCTTTCTTAAATGTGGTCTCATCCGACCATAAAATTTTTTAAAAGAACTGTGGATCTTTCCTGTGCGACAAAAAGCAACTCGGGGCTTATAATCCCGGGGCAGGAGAGGTTGAACACGCTGTATGTGGTATGGATGAAGCACATCACTTACTTGCTATTGCACACTTTGATACCGATCAGTACTCCTTCGTTTACTGCGCATCTTTACATGTTCGTGCTTGTTGATTTCTTACTGTTACTAATTTTGGATTCGTGAACTGGACTGTTGATCGCTTGTGATTTGGATTTGGACTGTTTAATTGCTCTTCAAAACAACATTTGGTTTCCTTAGACTATCTTTGATAGTGTGATTGTGCAGTGCCGCTATGTCCGTGTACACCGTACAAGAATATGCTAACATGCACCTCATTTAAGGGGAATGCAGATGCAACGCTAGTGCTGCAGCGAGACTTTACTGTGAGAGGTACCCGAATGCAGCTCGTCATCCAGATCATCGAGTGTTCACAAATGTGCACCGCTTACTGTTCTCAGAGGGCCAACTACCAAACCAATCACACGGTGAGGGAAGATCTTTCCTTCCTTACGAAGACGTGGTGCTAGGAGCTGTCGAAGAAGAGCCGAGTACTTCAGTGCGTGCAATAGAACTAAAAACAGATGTGCCCAAAAGTACAGCCCATAGAATCTTGCAAAAAAACGTGTTCAAGCTCTTCTGCCCCGGGATTATGAGCCCCGAGTTGCTTTTTGTCGCAAATATCAATACATCAGCTCATAAATATTTAGCCACTACAAGATCCTATATGAATAGCATAACAGGCACTACTCTTCACAACAGAATCAGAGTCTACTTAAGACGTCTCGACATCCAGAACGTACCGTGAACACTTACTACTGTCACCGATACCATCCCGCCTTGGATTATATGTCAACCAGTTACCAATACAACACTCACCAAGTTCAACAAAACCGAAAGACCAAATGAAGTTATATACCAGAATTTCTGTAATATCATTAGCGACTATCCAAGGTCAAAACAATTATACACTGATGCTTCAAAAACAAAGCAAAGCGTAGGAGCAGCAGTCATCACTGCCACATCCACAATAAAACTGAAGCTCCCAGCAGCAGCATCCATACTGACGGGTGAGCTTTACGCAATCAGAGAAGCTGTCCAGTTTATCAAAAATAGTCCTTGTCAGCGGTGGGTAATAATTACAGACTCCTTAAATTCAATCGAGTCGGTTTATCACTAAAACCATTTTAAACGAAATCGAAGAGGATGGAAACCCTATACTTGATCAGGCTGAAATATACTTTCAGCAAGACGGCGCTCCTCACTATGGTCTGCCGGTTCGGCAACGGCTAGACGACGAGTTTCCAATTAAATGAATAGGGCCAAGAGGGCCTATACTGGGACCTCGGTTGGCCGCGTGGGTCAGAGTGTCGTGCTACTGATCAGCCGGCCGGCCGGGCCGCGAGTTCGAATCTCGCCTTCGCCATGGATGTTGTGACGTCGTGTGTTTGTCCATAAAAAAAAAATAGGCAGCAGCGGTGGCCGCAGTAGTAGACTCTTCGATCTCCTGATCAGTCGCCGTTCGCTGTGCGGGTTCGAGTCCCGTCCCAGGAGAAATTTTTCTCTTGGCTAGGGATGTTGTGATTGTCCGTAGGTGGTAGATGGTTTCTGACTGTCGAACGCGGAGGTACCACCCGGCGGTTCTCGTAGGCGGAGCCAGAATGTGTGCATGTTGCATGCACACGTTTTCCCTCACCAGAGTCCGTGTGGCGACCCCCCCCCCCCTTTCCCATGTATCCCCCTATAGCCCCACGGTACCCAATGGGTGCTTAGGCCTTAGGCCTTCGTGGTAGTTGGAGTATAAAAAAAATATATAGAATGGCCTGCTATATCTCCTGATTTGACGCCAGCAGACCTTTTTCCATGGAGCCATTTCAAATCTATCGTGTTTACTCCCCAACCTGAAAGTTGGGATGAACTTCGTCAACGCATCATCCAAAGCTGAAAATGTCCGTCAGGAATTTGATCATCGCGTATATCGTTGTTTGGCCAATAACGTATAACATTTTGAACACCTATTGAAATAAAAAGTGATATTTTCGTGACAAATCTCTTGACGTGTCTCGTAGTTTTTTTTAATCAGTGGTTTTCGATAAATTCGTGCTGGGAAGTTTTCCAACGAATACCCCGTATGTATAAATTTACCTTTATTGACGTTTCAGCCATCACAGTGGCAATTTTCAGTGTTACGATCAATGACTGTGACAATATATATTTTTTGAAAATCAAGGAGTTCTATAAGCATGAAAACTGCATCATAAGTCATTAGAGGTGGTTCAGCTATAAAAGAATCATTATAAATGTAGATGTCGAAAAATTGATTCAAATGGCCTTGGACCAACTATTGTTCGACGCTTTCAACACCAGCGCTTACCTAAGGAAACTGACTTGATTGTAGACTAATGGTTTGGAAGAAACAATATTGATCTGCAGTATTATTGACCGTACCAAAGCCTTTGATTCCAAAACTTCCAAATGAGGAACATAGGAGGGGTACGGGTAAGGTTCTTTTGGTACTAGTGCATAATTTTTAATAATCTGTTGTGAATTCTGCAAAAAATTGTTTTTCTGGTACATTGTTGTCCCACGGATGATCTACGGTTTTTACAGGAAGTTTAAGGTTGGAAATAATTTTTGCGTCATAGTTCTCCGTGCCGTTAAATGGGACCACGTACAGGTGGAGTATTTAGTGTGGACTAGGTTGATAACTTAGTTATAGTAAATAAAGTATTTTTATTTCTATAGGGTGATTGATAAGTACGTGGAGGCCCAAAAACATGTTTTTAAATGGAAACATTCACATTTTTATGGATTCGGATTGGTCTAGTCAAACGAAGATATTCCATACATACTATAGGGTTTTATTTTGAAAATGTTCACATATTGGACAATCTATCGAAATCAACCCTCAACTTGGACAACTCGTCAGAATAATTTTGTGATCCCTTTTATTTGTCTCTATGTACTTCCTTTTTCAATGTTTTCATCAAATTAAACAGGAAGGTCACAAAACTAACAATTTAAAAAAAATTTCAAATGTCAATATTTTCACATTTTTTGGTTTATTTATAAAAAACAAGGGTTTACAATAACAATATCCCTTTAAATCTTTGGGTTCGTCAATTTTAAAATTTCCGTTTCTTCATTGTCTTTTGTAGTCGAAAACTTACTATTTTACGTTATATCTCGAAAAGTATTAATCTAAGAGAAAAGTTATAAAGCACCTTTATTGTTCAGAATGCTTTGAAAATCTAAGCACACTTCGACCGGAGCAAAATAAATTTTTTGCATTTTTAAAAAATATTTTGACGCCTAGCGAAACGTAAAAAAAATTGATTGAGAATATTTTTCCCATTATGTGCGAAGATAGTCTGGTCAAAAGCATGAAAACCACAGGATAAGTTTCATATGATACATTATTCTCTACTGTCTGCTACTCGTGGTCAGATTTTCAGAACTACCTACGGTCCAGCGGCGATGAATATTCTACAAAACCGTTGCTGGCCTGTTATGTATTCAAAGAAATCGGTTCCGAGAAAGGATGCAATACTATGGAATTAATTCTCCAAAAAATTCGCCCAGCTCAACCTTGAAGTGATAAGAAAAGTTTTCTCATCACCGTGTGACTAATCCATCTCCTACATCCCCCGTACCTCCAAATTAACAGTTTATACCCCATCAACAACAAGATTATCCCACCATATAAAACTTGGATAGCAATTAAGATCTTGGCATTAGCTACCCTACCTTCACAGGATTTCCAGGATCTCTTCGATTTGTCAAACGCTGTCTGGCACGCTAGAAGATTTGTCAATGCTGCCTTAAATATTTTACGCACCGCAGGCTAAGGACATGTTAGATTTATGACGTCATTAGGGGAAATGGGTATTGTCGGGCTTGTTTTCTTATTTTAGAATAGTCTTTCCAAGACTCACACGTCAGAGGGTTACTCATATTTTGAGTTCAAAAAGTATATTCTGAGTGTTTTGCTATGGACAACAACCAGCAATACAAATGTTCTGGAGATCAATCGAAACATTTATCGAAATAAATCAGCGCAAAGTAGAATCTATTATCAGAATCGGTCATCGAGAGAGTGTGTAGTAGCTATCGCTTGGAAATGTAAAGATCTCGATTCGCGTTTGGAAGCTCAGTCGCCACAGTGACTGATAGAGGCTGCCGATTCTGGTGGTACAGTAGAAGTTTGATGAGAATGGGGTGTGGAGGATCGTAACCCCCGACCTCGACTGAATACTATACCTTGGCTTCATCTTAATAAAACAGTAAGCGTAATTGATTGCATATAACGTGTCTAACATACGGACTTCCTGCTGTTCCCACGCGTAAGGAAAGTGGCATTCTTAAATTAGAGGGATGCCTTGAGAATATATATAAAAGAGCAGTTCCCCTACTACATCCCAGGTGACACACTTTTGGAGATACTCCAAAAGGACAGTATGGAAACACACCTGGATCATGCGCTCAAGAAATTCCTTAAAAGCACAGGGGAAGACAAATCAGTGAAGCCGATTTTAGCCATGATAATCCAACGAGCCAGCCAGGCCGGCTTGTCAAACCCAGCCCCCAAAATTCGTCCTACGTTCCCTAACCTCCTCCTCGTATTCACCCCTTTCCTGTGTATTTTTCATGTATAAAGAAGCAATATATTTTTGTTTTTTACTGCCTATACATAAGCCAAAGGCATCATTATATAAAATAAAAGTTTCAAGGTAAATTGATAGTGGGTAGTCTACTCGGCATTGAACAACTAAGCATGCTGCTCTTGCAAGTCCGACCAAAGGCAGCCAACCACGGATAGCTGTTTCGTGCTTTTCGACAATTCATCAACACGGTCTAGGCTTGGTCTCTGGGTCAACGAACGAAGGCAAAGCAACTGTCCTCTGTCCTAGTTATGAGATCCCTCGAATGGACAGCCAATCATGGAAAGCTGTTATCTGTTTTTTGGCAACTCATTCGCAAGATATAAGCTTGGTCCCTGGAACAACGAACAAAAGCATATATGTACAATCGAAATGAGGCAGCGTATTGCGCCATGCTTATTTGTCAGACAGTCGAGTGAACTTTTATGAACAGTAGACAGTATTTACGGTGTGGATGTCTAAGGTTATATTTCTCAGCATATTCGCATGAGACTGATATAACATGGTAGGTACGTAAATTGGGGTAATCTCCTTTTATCAGATTTAATGGAACTAAGCGAGCAACAGCTTTGTCGGGGCTATAACACGTGGTTTTGTTTTTATTGTCCGGCTGAAACTTCATTGCTCTCTTGATTTTTGTAGCTCTAGACGGTGAGCTAAGAGCTATGTCAGAACAGAGGCTGCGTTTCTTTTACCATTTTTACAGCTTGTTGGCTGCAATGAACGTTAGGTCCTCAAGAGACAGATCATTCAAGAGGGACTGCAGTCTTCGCTTTGGTTTGCGGTCCCTGGATAGTAGACATCACGTGTTGATCCTTATTTTTAATTTGGACTCCACCCAACCACTTTCCTTGAGCGGTCATAAATCGACTCGGTTGTATTGGGACTACCTTTTCTTGGTACTTAAATAAAATTAGCAAATTTTTCCTTAATGGTGTTGTTACTCTCGAGGAGGAAGTAAAGACGAATTTCCTCGCTAACGGAGATGGAAACATTAGAAAATTTTCTCCCTGAAAATAATCATAATTATGTCAAGCCTTTAGGGAAAACTATTTTTATCAAAAAAAAGCCCTAGGAAGGTCATGATATCGCAAAACTATTTCAATTTCCAGGTTCCATCAGTTTACGTAGAAATGACTGTCCATAAATTGATAATAAAGCAATCCTGTAAGGGAAACATGCTTGTGGATGAGAAATTTAGTTTTTGACGAGATTCGCATTTTGACTTACCGTGCGGACCCTTCTAGCTACTATCCACTATGTTTTTGAAATCTATTTTCAAGTTTAAAAAGTATAACGGCAAAAACTTGTGAGAGCAAATGTAATCCTTCTAGTATGGCTAAAGCCACTGATGTACTGCGGAATAAGAAGATGAGATGGAAAATGCGGGCGGCAGAAAGAAGCTTAAGAATAAAATTTCAGTTAGTGTGACAATTTTTACTATTGGTAAACCAGATATATGTAAGGTTTTTGGGAATAATTATTTACATAATAATTTCCAATTATAACGTATAAATGTGTACGGTAAATGATGCTTAGGCTTTTAAGCCACACTTCTACCTATGTACTTTCCATATTTTTTTCCTACCCAGCGACGAGGAAGAATTTTTATCGCGAGAAATTTCGAAAATGAGTTCCGCTTTCTTGGATGTTGTATGACATGCATATTACGAAAAACCATCCGTCGGTCTTTCTGTATGTCCACTAATGCTTGACCTGTGCATATATCGGAAAGTACTGCTAATTTTCACATAGGAGTACTACTGTTAAATACGAAAAAGATCATGATCATTTTCTGAAAAAAAATTGTGTGAATGAATGAATCGTGAAATTAGGGGCCTTCCAGCCACCATAAGGAGCCAGTGCATAGGCCGCTTAAACGGGCTCTTATGCCCCTCTACATTCCTTAGATCACAAGCCTCGTCCTTTTAGCGAAGCTGAGAATCGCCTTGGGTCCAAGCTCCTTGACGTCCTGAGGGTCCAAAGTAATGGACCCCTGTATAGTCTGCCTACAGCTGCTCAGAGCTTCACAGCGACACAAAACGTGC